ATGTGCACCATCCAATCCTTTGGCGATCCGAAAAGTAAGAATTATTCCCACCCACGTTCCTTTGCGATCTTGACCCATGTAGACACAGACCCATTCTGATTAATTTCAAGCCCCAACGCGCGAAGGCTTGAGACTTTCTGTACAAGTTCGAGATTGAAGGAGAGGTGCATGGGCCGGCTTGAAACAGCACGGTGCCCGTACTTCTTTCCAGCGGTAATGAAGGCTGCTCTTTCTTGCGATAATGCTAAGTCTATATGGCCACACAAAGTGTCACTTAAAAGGCCGTTTCAAGTCCCTTTTCTTGGTAAGCGATATCTGGGTGGATCATCCACACAGTAATATTGCCGGTTTGCAATGCAAAGCAAATGTCGGGTACTGCTGCCGATTGACACGCAGGTGGAAGGATGGCAATGTTGAAAAGGACTGATGCAGGAACAGACCCTTGTGGAACGCTGCGGTGCGACGTGAACAGACCTTCTGCGTGCCCAGCCAGGTGAATAGGAAATGTTCGGTCACATAGAAAGGCTTCAACAAAAGTGCACATGCGTATTGGAAAGAGAACGCAAGGTAAGACTGGAGCTATTGCCTAATGAATGACATGGTTTACGTTTTTCGAATGTCCACTGTTATTGATGTTCGAGTATGGTCAGAGTGACCTTCAACGAGCACCATAGAAGACAGGTGTTCCAGCCCATCTTCAGTGCCCGAATGAGTATCGATTCCAAACTGCGCAGGATAATACCAGGAGCACCGCTCAAGCCACCATGTCAATCGGGTCGCAAGCATTCGCTCCATCAGTGCGCACAAAGTTGATGTTAAGGATAATGCTCTCAAATTAGTGATGTTGAACAGACTCTTTCCTGCCTTCGGAATGACAATCACCTCTGCGTGTAATCACGCATCTAGGAAGAGGCTTCCTGCCCACATACTGTCCATGAGATGTGCAAGATTGTTTGCTTCTGTGTTTTATAAAGTTCATAAGAAATGCAGTCAGGCCCAAGTTCACCGTAAGGCTTCGCTTCGTCTATGGCTGCCAGAAACTTTGCCATCGTAAAAGGTGCTTGAATGCTATCCACGTCATTTAATGAAGATTTCATTCATGTCAGCACTGGTAGAAAGGAATGCTCGTGCAGTAATGGAGAAGCTGGTGTGTGAAAGGCGAAAAAAAAAGGCTCAATCAGCTCAAGGTGCAAAAATAGACGGAGTCGGGCCAGCTGCCAGCAAAGGGGATGCCACAGGACCAGAGGGCGACGACCACGTTCCATCGCTTGAAATGTCGTTCATACTGACGCATTTGACGATGAGGGCCCGAGGAAAGCACACCAATCTAGCTCATGACCTCGTTCCAAGCAGCGTTCAAGACGACAAGCTTCCCGTGTGCGGCGCTGAAGCTCCAACCGCGCCGTAGTAGAAGCTGGATTTTGCTCCAGCGCAGCGTCTGCGTGTCGGCGTGCAGCTCATAGACGAAGCAGTTGTAAATCTGGGATTGGTCAAGATTCGACAACTCAAGACGCGTGTATAGTTATGTTCTGTGCTGTGCAAAAATGAACCGTTAGATCGGCGCAGGTTTTATTGGGAATAGCTTCAGATAGCAAATGGTTGCGATTCCTGTCCACAACTCTATAGAGACTATGGATAGGACCAGCAGAGCTTAGATAAAGGCCAAGCAGAATAGGATGATGCTCCCTTCCCTAACAATCTGGTTCCCATGCACAAGACACCGCCATGCTTCTTAGACACCAGGATAAATCTGGTGACTGCGATTACGTACGCTGCTGCTCACGCCGTCGAGTAGGTACAACTACATCATTTGAAAGGTACAATTTGCGCCTACGAAGTTGTCAAATACACACGTACCTCGCGCACTTGACGCAACATGTCCCGAAGTGGGGTATGGTACGTTAAAATCACCAGCGACTAATGCTTCGTCTAGGATAACGATGGTGGAGTGAAGTATTCAGTCAAGGCTTACGAGAGCTGCGCTGCCGCTATAAGGGCGAACGTACTACGACCCAACTATAACGTCTGATTGCGGTAGACGCACTGATGTGTAACCACTTCCTGCCACAGTGTGTGCCACATATTGAGGTCTATACGCAACTGAGAAAAAGTAGCATGAACGTATGCAGCAACTTTACCAGGTGTACGCACGATGTCGAGCTTCTGCGGCTCATGATGAATGGGAAGGACTACGCTTCAAATCCTGAAATTGATGCAAGATCGTTAGTTTCTTGACGCAGCAATCCCCAAACATGTAGCTTCCCATATCAAAGGCGTTGACGAAGCTCTCCAACCTTCCCTGAGATGCCACGACAGTTACACTGTTGAATTTCTTTCAAGGATAATGTAGAATGGCGGGTCACATTTATATCTGTAGTAAAGCTACTAACACCGAAGTGGGCTGCTGGAGCTGTTGGGCCTCAGAGCACCGGAGCTCGTGAGGCGACATCGGCGTTTAAGGTGTCTCATTCGGTGGATGTGTCAATTAGGTCATTGACGGCGATCGCTGTGTCTCTGAACACTGGCATCACGGGCGAATGTCTGGGTGACGTTTTTCTAGACGTTGAATTTCTGCCAGGCAAAGAATAAAACTGTGTCCTTGCTAGATGCGCCAGTTAAGTCGTTATCTGGCATGGTGTCTTTTGGCATCGGTATCGAAGGCCGAGGTTTTGAACGAGGTGCTTTATCTGCTGCACTGTATAAGCACGTGTGCTGTTTGGGAGGTGCGTTCGTTGGAACGCAAAAACTCTCACTTATTGAAGGTAGAAGAGCACATTGGTTGGAACAAGCCGGTTGGTTAGATGCTTCCTGCAATGATGGCTTTTCTGATTGTCGATCAGAGTGATGGTGAGCTTTCTTAGTCGCAGCACGCTTGGTAGATCACAGCAGTAAAGTAATGGCCTGCTCGTTGCTTTTACAGAGGCCACACTGAAACAATGGTGATGGTGTAGGTTTCATTGTTTTATCTTTGGCTGGGCAGGGGCAAAATAATTTCGTATGCCCTTGCCTGCAGCACAAGTTGCAATGTGGTTTTGCAGGTGATGTGTTAGAAAGGAGTCGATGCAGCGCTCACGTAAACACGGACACGACAACGCACAAATGGACACCAAACATGGCCTTAGCCCAGTGTCTCGCTACACGCTGCATCAAATTCTGTCAACATAGAGTCGTCTGCAAAATTCGGTGACACCGAATGTCAGGAAACGCCCCGTTTGCTCTAAGCAGGAAGGCATGTGTTGCGCCGTTCTGGTACATTTAAATGCAAGCCGCGTTTTGATTGTAACCCTACCCCACATACTGACATATTTGACTAGCGAGTGCAGTACACGAAGCCCTAAATGCATTTACTGCGTCTGCTTCATTTTGAATGTGTAAGTTTAACCAAATTTATTTGAATGCGTCAACCTTCAAAGGTACTTTGGGTTCTCAGGATAACACATGTTCATACGTAAGTAACAGTTTCTCGAGTGTAAATATCTAAATAGGCACCAAACTTCCTATCATCTGTGGAACCGTATAAAATATGTTGAGCGAAGATATATGTGCAACTATTAAAAACAAACTTCGCAAGTCCTGATTGCTTCTATAAAACTAGCGAACACACACAAGAGCCAGGAAGACAAAGAAAGGACAAGCGCTAGTTGACTGCTATGAGTAAAAGGACACGAGGCACGGGTCAGGCGCTTGAGTGTGGCATGGGTGTGCGATACTCCCGATGTTGCACAGACGTGCCACATTCACGTACGATATTGGTCAGGAAAAGGCTCGTAGCATGCGACGACGAGCACGTGACCCGAAGAGTAGCTCGTCGTGGACTCCGTTGCTTACAGCTCGACTCTGCCGGCTAGTGTGGACTGCTCCGGTCCTAGCACGAAGTGGATAGCAGCAACTCCACCAGGAATTGCTGGGCAACGATGCGGTCAGTCCTGGCAGCTTCACTCGGGACCTCCGAGGTCAACGGACACTTTCTGAGTCTTTCACGCCACCATCCTTCAGAATCGGGCATCCATGCAGCTCCCGTTATTGTAACGATGCTGGTTTCCCATGTATTCGCAGGTCTGAGCACCGCAGAACAGTGCGAACTCATGATCTGTTTTTTTTTTTTACATCACAGGTCAGGTCGCGCGGCACGAGCCTTTTTGAGACCGATTTCGTACGTGAACTTGGTGCGTCTGCTCCACATCAGGGGTCTCGCTCACGGATGCCACATTTCAGTGTCTGGCACGTGCCTTGTTACCTTTTATCAATGACATCTATTTCAACTGAATAGGCCCTGATTTATATGTTGTGTTTAACGTCCCAAAACCACGATTTCTTTATAAGAGACGCCAAGGTGGAGGGCTTCGAAAATTTCCACTACCTGGGGTCCTTTATCGTGCAACTAAATCTGAGCACACAGGCCTACAACAATTCTTCCTCCATCGGAAATGCAGCCGCCGCAGCCGAGATCACCTGAATAGGCCCTTTAGAAAATTCAGTCTGGCAACATGGCCGTTCCGTAATATCTTGTTCACTTGTGTGAGCTGGCGGGCTGTGTGTCCAAGTGACGCCAATGAGCGTCCCCTGCAGCGCACACGGACATATATAAGTGGTTATAACAGAAGAAAAGAAAAGAAAGGTGCCGACCCGTAACTGTCTCTCCTTACGAGGACACCTCAACAGGTCAGCACAGGAATGGGATATGGGGAATAAAAGATATAGGGAGGGAAAGATTGGAAAAGAGAGAAAAAAAAAGAAAGGCGAGGGTCATTCGTTCTGCTTTCGCAACGGACTCACAAGCCCCCACGCGCCATGCACAGCTGACTAGGAAGGCTCCCAAGGGCCGGAGAGGTATCGTCATCGAGAGGAGGACAACGGTTTGATTGGCGCGTCGTACAAAGCGCGTGAAGCACTCGCCGAAGTGCGTAATCTCTGTACGGAAAACACTGTACGGAAAACAGTAGCACTCACTAATACGAGTCCAGTGGACATCGATGGGGAGGCACTAATGTTCTTTCAGTTCACAAGCGCTCAAATAGCGCAGAAGTCCTCAGGAAGGTGATGAGGGCAGCTTGCGCGCGCTTCACCAGGCATGCGTGCGCACGGGGAAAAAGAATCACATCAACAGTGCTGGTGGAGAGTCCCAGTTTGCTGTAAGCATCGAATAGTGATCTGCGCGCGTCCGAATACTCCTCACACTGGAAGATAATGTGATGGAGTGTTTCGGGCTGTGGGCAATGACGGCAGTTTGGGTCTCCATGTCCCGACTGTCTATGAACCCGTTCCGCCGTGCGGTAGCAGCCGATGCGCAGGCGGAGAAGGAGGGCACGCTCCTCTCTCGAAAATCCTGTTTTCGGGAGTGGGCGTGGTGGCTGCCCTGCCGCAACTCGTGGGTCCGGGTGGCGAGCGGTGACAGAGCACCGTGTGTGAAGCCTTGCTACGTCGAATGTGCTCACCGCTGTAGTCACAGGGGTTCCCGGAGAGTATGCTTCTTTGGCCAGCTCGTCGGCCACTTCGTTGCCGGATATTCCAACGTGCGCTGGTATCCATTGCAGCACAAGATCACATCCTAGGTCCTGCACTGCTTCGAGCTTTCGCGCGATGCGCGTGGCAACCGGAGGTCTGCGGGCGTCCTGCGCGAGTAGTTGGAGAGCAGCACGTGAGTCCGAGAGAACGGCAGCCGACGGAGCTCTCAGTTGAATGAGGGCATCGGCGGCGAGGTCAAGCGCGGCGAGTTCGGCTATCGTCGACGATGCCTCGCAGGCGAGGCGGCACTGATTGTGAAGCTCCAACGAAGGCACCACACACGCAGCCGCGGCACACCCGTCGTTCAACACTGAACCGTCAGTAAAGACGAGGAGTCGTCCCGCGAGTTCGTCAAAAGTGGCAGCAGTTTCGTGCCGAAGTGCACACACTGGCGTCGTCCGCTTGCTTGCCACTCCCGGTAACTGTGTCCGAATCTTGAGAGGGCGATGGTGGCAGGGCGGGGCACTATAGTCATTCACATCCGGTGAGCTCGGGATGAGGGCGTAGAATGCCGCAGCGCATTGCCCCATCCGTGAGTGCGGAAGTAAGGAGAGCCAGAATACCAGCTGCTGTCCGTGGCGCGAGCGTTTCATGCGCTCTATGTGATTTAGCGCTCGAAGATCGGCCCGGAGTGACAGTGGCATGTCTCCCGCCTCAGCAAGTGTTGGGCCGATTTGAGATGATCTGGGCAAGCTGAAAAACTGGCGAATCGCGATACGATGCGCTGCGTCCAGTGTCTCCCAGTTGGAACGCGTAAGCGCTGCGAGAGGAAGGCCGTACAAAATGCGCGCCGCAGCCATTCCGTTGTAGATGCGGAGAGCTAGGGACGGTGTGCATCCATTGCCGCGAGCAAGGAGCGCTCGAGCGGCGGAGGCGACCCTTCGCGCGTTTCGAAGCTGGTCGCTGACCGCTGGTGACCAGTTGAGGCGTTGGTCCAGCTGCACTCCGAGGTAGGTCACTCGCCTCTTCCAAGGGATGGGGATCGTTTGGAGAGTGAACTTCGGTGTGTGGCGCTGGGCGCCATAACTGGGGTGCAGCAGCATCGCCTCCGTCTTCGCCGGTGAAAGCGTCATCCCCCTGCCCGTTATGAACGCGTCAATAGAATCCAGGACGGTTTGGACACTGGTGCGAGTCGCTTGCGTTCCTAGAGGACGTGTATTGCGTTTGGACGGTATGCCAATGAGCGTCCCGTGGGTGAAGAAGACTTGGAGGAAAAAATGTGTTTTTGGCTTCGTTCGATACGAAGCGCCAAAGTTTAAAAGGGTCTATTTTAATGGACACGATGGTAAGAATGTGGGAAAACCCCAATGATATGAGCTCAATTTGTACGAATGCCAGGTTGCAACGAATGCTTCTGTAGCCACCGCCAAGGCGTAATATCAGGTAATTTAATGGAGTACGAATGTTCTGAACCTGTTTTGATTGAGTGGCGTTTGATACCAGAGTATTCTACTACGCAGATACGGGTAACTCCTGCTGGTGCTCTCGTAGAAAAAGCGGCAATCACGCACAGTGTCAGAGCGCGGACATTGGTGCTGTGCCACCAGTTCACCATAACAGTGCGTCACCCACAGATATCAAAGGCCTTATGCGACATCATGTGCGTTGGCTATATAAACTGTAGATGACGCTGTTTTTCTTTACAGTGTAAGCTTTGTATGGCTAGGTGAAACAGAAAAAACAAAAACCTTAAGCTTCGCGTTTTAGAGTTCAATGCGATAGCAAAATCCGGCCCCAAGTGCGCCCTTCAGCTGCTAAGGGCATACTTAGCGCATACTCGAAGTTGTACTGACACAAAAACCTTGGCCTCACGTTCTTATGCAGCAATGCGCTGCTGGGGGTCTGTTAGTCATGACATGACACATCGTCTGCTGCAGCACGCAACAAGTAATAAATGCAGGCTTTTCATTATCAATCAGTTTCAGTTTCAGTTTGAGAGAGCTGCACCACCTAGCGTGTCCAGCTCTTGACCACGTCAGCACACAGAACTGGGACGCACTTCCGCACAGTACGCCTAAAGAATTACTTTCGAATAGAAAACGGGGAGTGGAATGTCGCCAAACACATAACTTTCTAAGCATGCGCCATGGTGACGCGCTCGCAACCAGCCGCTGAGAAATATAGACTGCGGAAACTAACGCGGACAAAAAAATGGCGGCTATGACGTCATAATAACTTGTTTTGTTAACCGTAGCGCGGTGACGTTAGGGAAGTAGGAGGTCACCTCGCTGGTCCCCTCCGATGGTGTCTAGAGCACTACGCAGTCGGTCGCTCACGCTAGCTTCAAAATGAATTAAAAATATCTTCCAAGCTATATTCGCTGCTGATATCTTGCAGATGATATAGGAAATGTTCCCGACAATCGACCCCGCAGGCTATCTCGGCCCCAAAATTTTGTAGAAGTACCCCTTTAAAATACTTACTAGTGCATACTTAACATATATATGTTTTGTTACGCATAAACGTGCGCGCGCAGGCGCGACGTATCTATAATAATGGTACAGGTTTTCGATCTATTTAAACACACTTTTATAACTTCATGAAAATATTGTACAGTGACATAGTCAAATGGTCCTGTGTAATGAACGGCGCGTAGACATGACACGTGTATTCGTAATTGGTCACATCCTGTCGTCCATCTTCCGTTAGTTATCTGTAATTGTTAGACTTGCTCTTCTTGAGACCTCTTCCGGCCAACCGCAACAAGCATCGGCCAGGTTCGGTGAAATAGCAACTACAGTACTTTACTTTTTAATGGAGTCGTGAGAATGAAACGCTAAATCTATGCAAGTGTTGTAGTTTGTTGAAATAGCATTTTCTTGAAGGGGTATAATGAGTCTCACTATGGAGGGGGGGAGTGGTACTTAGAATTGGGAAGGAAAAGAAAAACGAACCCCGCAGCTGTCTGCAGCTAAATGCGCACTTCAGCAGGGGTTTACAGGGGAAAGGAAATGCGGGGAGCAATAGAATTCAGCGAAGAGAGAAAAAAAGAAGGAAAGAGCGAGCTAGAAGACCGAAAAGGAAGGGGGGGGCGCACAGATCGTCTGCCAAAACCACAAGGCGCGAATTCTGGAAATTCGCTCACTTAGTCCGCTTGTGTCAACAAAGTCGAGCAGCGCTGAAAGGGTACGCTTGATTTTCGCACAGCCACTGTTCGGGAACAAGAGGTGCTCCGTTGTTGTAGCGAGGCAGACTGTGAGCTCCTTACGTTGCGACCATCACATGTCTACTCGCTTCACCAACCGGGAAATGAAGCAAAACGTGGTGCAGTTTCCAGGTCACCGCAGTCCATGCAGTATGGACTGCCACGCTCGGACTGCTGATGAGTTCGCTCGGCGGTGTTGTTGTCTCCGGTGCAGAGATGGAAAAAGAAACTGCGGTCCTGTCTCGCAATTCCTTGAAAGAGAGCCGCCGTGGCGGCTTTTCAGCTGCTACGCGAGGGTCCAAATGACGGTCGCGCACGTAGCGGGCGGTGAGGAGACGGCCGGCATCCACGAAGCTCGCGAAGTTGGTGACGATGGTTTCGGGGTCGTGCGCATCCCTCGCGACACCGTCGGCCGCCTAATTGCCGGTATCCCGATGTGTGAAGACACCCAGTGCAATGAAAGGTCCCAGCTCGTTTGCTGCACGGCGTGTAGCTTCCGGGCAACTCTCTGCTCAAGGAGGCTGCCGTCTTCCTCAAGCGAGATCACGGCCGAGGCCTCCTAGGAGTCGCTGATGATAGCTGCAGCGTTCATGGGTGCCCGCTCGTTCAGGAAATCGGCTGCCAAATATATAGCGACGAGTTCCGCCATAGTAGAGGACGCGAGGAAGGGAAGGTGGCACTTGAGAACTGTGCCGACTGATAGCACAACGCACGCAGTGGCCGTGGAGACATCGCGAAGCACTGACCTGTTGACGTAAACAAGCAGCCGTCCATTCAGCTGTTCGTGAAGGAAGGTGGAGCACTCCTGCTGTATCGCTGCCAGCTGGGTGCGCGCCTTTACTTTGATGTCACCAATGGTCTTGGTGATCACCAGAGGGATGTGGTGGTAGGGTGGGATAGCCGGCCAGCTGGGGTACTGCATGTCTGGCGCAACCATCAAGAGCTCACTCATCCGCTGCACCATGAATTAGTGAGGTAGAGCGTATAGCCTGTTCACAAGTAGCTGCCCTGCCTTGTGGTTTTAAGCTGCAGTACATGATTTAATGTCCGATGAGCCACCCGCAGGAGGATGGGAGTTTGCCCCGCTTCGGCGAGCGTAGGGCCCACCTGGGAGGTGTGGGGAAGTCCACAGTACTCCCGCACAGTGTTGAGAAGGTCCAGGTCCAAGGCAGCTACGTGGCAACACGTAACGAAACCACTGCTGCCGTGAAGATCTCGCGTGCTAATGCGACTGCGTTGTAAACTCGCAGGGCAAGGGCAGGAGTGCAGCCGTTACCTGACGCGAGGAGACTGCGTGCGGCGCCGAGTATCTTGCGGTTGCTCGTCCGCAGATCGTTGAGCCAGATGAGCCGATGGTGTATGGTCACCGCCACGTAGCGCACCGTGTTAAGCTTGATGGGAAGGCTGCGAGATGAGAGCCGAGGCGTGGAGCGGCGGGTCGACGCTCGTGGGTGGACGAGCAGTGCCTCGGTCTTGGAGGCGGCAAGTGCCAGTCCAATCCCAATTATGAATTCGTCAGCTACGTCGATGGCCACCTGGAGGGACTCGAGAAGGACTTCTTGGTGGTGACCGGGGCCTGCACGCAAACAGCACAATGTCATCAGCGCAAATTGCCACATGCACTACACGCCATGTTGCGCGGGATGTAGTCGGGCAGCTCGGCAAGAGACAGATTGAACAGAAAATGGCTGAATATGCTGCCCTGGAGTACGCCCGTGGTGACGGAGTGGAGCCAACACGAGCGCGATAAGCGCGGTCGTTCAAGAAGCTCTCTAGGGAGTTAAACATCCGCCCGCACACACCAAAGTCACGAAGTGTGTCCAAAATCAATGCTTGGGGCAAACAAACAAAAGCACTTCTCAAGTCGAGCAGCACGAAGGTGCCGTAATCACCACGGTACTTAGCACCTCTAGGGTGGCGATCACGTCTGCGAGTGAGTCGAACGTACAGCACCTTAGGCGAAATCCGCTCTGTTCAGAAGGAAATGCGTTGGTTGTGGTGGCAATCCAGCGAAGGCGTCGCAATGCCAAGGCTTTCATGACTTTTCCTGCGGCTGAGGTAAGTGATACTGGCTGGCAGGACGAACGCTCTGTGGCCGGCTTCCGTGGCTTCAGGATGGGCACCACGAGCGCCTATTTCCAGCTCGGAGGCACCTGACTTGTGCGCCACACTTCTTTGTAGGCCTCCAGCAACCAGAGTCACATGGATGGGCGAATATTGCACAGTACCTTGTAGGTGAGGCCGTCCACTCCCGCGACAGACCACTTCGCGCGGTTGTTGAGCACTGCGGTCAGTTCACTGAGAGTAAACTCCTCCATGCACAATGCGCGGATCTCCAGCAGAATACCCTCGGTGGGAAAGCACTGCTAGGGAGCGAACAGCTCAGGCTTATGTAATGCCGGCACAGGTGGTAGTCCTTGTTATGGCTGTGGGCAAGCATAAGGAGCAAACTTGTTTGCCATCAGCTCAGCAAACTCTTGCGTGGTCGATCTTCATTGCAACAGCAACACAGAGAGCCGGGCAGCGAGGCTCTCTGGTGCAAAGAACGGCAGCGAAGGTGCGCCAGGCTTGGCCGTGGTTGTGCTGGTTTTCTAGTGACGAGCAGAGGCTTCCCCAGCTCTGGTTGCGACGGCGACTGGCGTGCCTGCGGCACACTACGTCAATACAGTTATAGGCACACCAATGTTCCGCCTTCTGCGATCGAACCGCCACAATCTGCGCCCTGCGACGCGTGTCGCAAAGGTTGAGGAGGCTGATGTTTGATGTGGGGGCTCCCGCAGACACGGTGCAGCGGGCGGAGCTGCGTCATGGCACTCTGCCAGCGAGTTGAAAAAGTCTGCAGGGTTTGGCATTGTAGCACACAGTTCTCTGAAGCGCATACACTTCACAACACTGTAGGTCCGAGTGTACCTGATGTTAGCTGAGGTA